ACTCCGTGCACTACCCTCTCCCTCCCCCTCTCTAGCTTTGCAGTGGCGCCACAGACATCTAACGAGACAGCCGTTGAACATTTTTGCTGAATTTGAGGAGTTCAAAATTCAAAATTCAGTGGACTCTCGTCACTAGGGATTCCACGCATTATTAGCTCGTCGGAGCGAGTGAGCGAGTGAGCGAGCGAGTGAGCGAGCGAGTGAGTGAGCGAGTGAGTGAGTGAGTGAGCGAGTGAGTGAGCGAGCGAGCGAGTGAGCGAGTGAGTGAGCGAGCGAGTGAGCGAGTGAGTGAGTGAGCGAGTGAGCGAGTGAGTGAGCAAGTGAGCGAGTGAGCGAGTGAGTGAGCAAGTGAGCGAGTGAGCGAGCAAGTGAGCGAGTGAGCGAGCAAGTGAGCGAGTGAGCGAGCGAGCGCTCCCGGACACGTCATCCACGTCAACATACACACAAATATGAGATACGGCACCACCCTAATCTTCATAATCTCTTCCTTCTTAGATTTTGTCACGACATTCACGTCCTCGTAGTACTCCTGGATACTTTCTTGATGCTTGGAAATGAACCAAATGGAAATGGGAAACACCTTAAATTTTGGGTATTTTATCTGATGTTTTTTTGAATTTTCATGTATGTCATCCTATAAGAACATATACTACCTAGTTTCTTTTTTAACAATACGGCTGCGTGAAAAATAAGTGCTGCAAAATTTATTTCTTCAGAGCCGTAATTAGCCTTTAATTTAACATGCATGTTTGTTATCTATTAATAATGGGAAATTGGATATTCTAGGTGGGCGCTGTAAGCTTAAGACCACAGCTGGCAGCATCCAAGATTTAAGGAAATCTACGAGAGCCTAATACTTGAAAATAGGGAGCTTAATTAGCCTTGAATTTTGGATACGGCCCGGTCGTGTTTGGCTTCTGGGCAGTGCTTGCACCAGGAGAGTAGGCGACGGTGGCGCCTCACGAGTGCACCACGAACGCGCCGCAATGTCGCGTTACGGGATGCTCACACGAGGTCGCGGGGCGGCGGAAAGAACCGTCCGGTCACGCACACGCGATGCGACGCACGGCCATGCCACACGGCACGCGCGATTCCGATGCAACGTGCTTATCACGCGGCGGCAGCGCGTTTAGAGACAGTGATGTTGTAAGAATGCAGCGCACGCTTTGTGGCACAATACTGTTGCAATAGAGTATTTTGAAGAGATTGTTATTGATAATACATCGATAAAATTCATTTATCTATAAATTTGCATTCTTGTACAAAACGATTATCATGTATTAACGAATTAAATACCTGTAAAATAGTTATTTTCTTCCTAACATTTCAATATATCTGTCTATAATTTCTGTATGGTCAAAGAACGCTATGAAACATACTTCCGACAAAGTATATTCCCATCTTAAACACACGTTGAAGATTTTTTTATCGATATTGGTTATATTTAGAATTGAGTGAGAGGCTGCAGTAGAAATAAAAAGAGAAGGAAAATAAAGAGAAGTCAATGAAAATCCTATTTGTGAAGACACTCAAAGGACGTTTTCAAAGTTCAAGAAAGGAGAAAATATGCACAATACAGGAAAACATACAATAAAATGAGGGTGCACGTAAATAAAAGAGGCACTCAGAGATGAAAGTAAGACATGCCATTAAAGAAAAGTCTGTAACAAAATTTGTGAAGAAGGAATGGTATATAAAGTCATCGGACCCTCATCAATTCCATCTGATATTGAATATACATAAGTTCTATATTGCAAAATAAGCTATTCAGTACCGAGAAGGAACAAAAATTAGTAAAAATAAACAAGAATATACTTATTTTTTAAATTTATTTAGCTAGTAACCTCTTCCAAAAGTCTGAAAGAACTCATTCTTACTTTAAACGATATCCTTACATTGCGAAGCGCGCTTGAGAAAGAATTACGTTCACTACTACGGATTTATTTTTCTATTTCAAGTGGAAACGGACGACTTTATTGCACCTCTTTATCGCTCGTAGTGATTGCCTCTTTCCTTCCTCATAAATCCTACTATTGTGTCGCATTCCCAAAGGTTCTCCTTTGCGCTGATAGGAATAAATGTTATACAGCGGGAGCGCAACTTCTGATGCGAAGTGACTGTTCGATTCGCGTTTCTTGAACCGCCGCACAGAGAGCGCCACGTCGCGGAGAGCGGCGCAGAACGTTCGCAATATGCTAACGACGCTTTTAGTCGATTCGCTCAGATGGCACAGCAGCCGGGAGGGGAGATAGGGACCGGGGTAAGGAGGGGGAATGGGGATGGTGGTGGAAATGGGGGATGGGGAGGGAGTTTGGGTTGGCAGGGGACGGCGGTTGGGGAAAGAGGAAGGCGGTTGGGGAAGCGAACGGGCGGTTACGGAAGGGTGAAGAGGGAGGTTGGGGGAGGGCGGTTGGGGAAAGGGGAGGGCGGTTGGGGTTGTGAAAGGGGGAGGTGAAAGGGGAGGCCAGTTGAGGAAAGGGAAGAGTTGGGGATGGGAGAGGGGATGGGGATATAAAGGGGGAGATTCGAAGCTGCCGAGACGAACTCGCGGATCGTAGACCCTGTCTGAAGGAAGTGAACGCGCAAAAGTAGACTTCCCGAACAAAGGAAGAGGTTTCTTCCTAAATCGAAATGCTGTGAAAAGCTGTAATATCTTCCGATTGTTGGGCGCTCTTCGTTTAGGAACAATTCAAGAACATATCCTTTCTAATACAATCCTGCTGCAAGTTCCGAATGATTCGGTTATGGCTTTGTGAATAAAATATAGAAAGACGACTCACCCAATCGTTTTAGAGAGCTTATGAATAGATACTCATATTTATAACGAGAGAAAATACCACATTTTTGTGGAAGGACTTTTCAGCAGCAAACAGAATCCCAGAAGAAAAGAAGTAGAATAAAATAAAATAAAACAACGCATCAAACATCTTTACATTTACATTTCCGTCTTTAGTGAGCACGAAAATATATGAAGCATAAGACAAACAATGACCCGGGCCATCTCGGAAATTGTGTCTAGCGCTCTGTATGAATGGCTCGAACTACAGCTTTCATGAACCTATACTCTTCCACTGACACGCGCGTCTATTCAGGGAAAAGCAATTGAAAAGGGGAAGAAAGCGAACTGCGGTGCTGCTGACGGAGAAATCTGGGAATTCTCCCGTCGATCGCGGGGAGCAACAGAAAGAGACGCGAAAAGGAGGCGCAGAGCGAACGGGCTTTTCTACGCAGCAAACAAAGACTGTGGCTGTTGCCTGGGGAAGCCATTACGCGTCCCGTGCTCGTCGAAGGTGGTGAGAACAGCGGAAACTTTTTGATTACTTCGCAAGACTGGTCAGTGGAAAGGATACCTGGCTACCGTCTCAGCTGACGACGAAATGAAAACAAACATGAAACATCGTAGTGCTAGTCGTCGTGGCTTCACCAGCAACTCGATGAATGCGTTTTTCGTTATTTAATTGATACTTCATAACTCTATATTAATCGGGCTCTGATTTAGAAAACAGCAGGAACCCAACTATCAAGAGTTTTTCACAGACTATAAGGAAGTCAATCTTGTTTTATTACTAGTTTCTTACTAAAGGAGCATGCGAATTAAAAGTGAAAATTCAATTTTTTATATAAATTAGAAACTAACTTATCACATTTTCATGAAATAGCAGCTCGTCGTAAAATGTTGTCGTGTCTTTCTGGGACTACACATAAATTCAAAACTAGTGTAACGTATTAGCCAGCGTGCCTCGTGGCATCTATTTGGGGACGCTTGGCAGGATTAGTCTCGCCACAGGAAGTAGGGTTTTTCCGTAAAGGGAAGAACGCGGAGACGGGAGACACAAGGCTTTGGGTGTCTTCCGGCTTATAGACGCTTTTCACTGTTATAACAAGCGAGGGGGTGGCGTGACGTAGGAGGTCACGTGGGCCTCGCCTATATAACAGAGTGTACGGAGCCAGTAGGCAGGTTCTGGAGACGGTGGGAGAACCTCGTGCGTGTGCACAAAACTTGGCGCCAAGACGGTGCATATGCGAGCCAGGCTCGCGAGGCTGGAGTCATTAGTTGACGAAGCCTGCGGACTTTGTGTCCTTGGGTGACTGCGGTCACGGGGGAGCGATGCTGTGTGCGTGCTCCGAGGTGAAGAGTGGTTGAGCGCCACGATTCACGCCGATTCTCAATCGGATAAGATCGCTCCTGCGATCGAGGCAAACCAGCCGTTGGTGCGCCAGAACGGACTTTGTGTCCCAGCGTGACATCCGGTCACGGAAGCTAGGCTTTGTGCGCGCTTCAAAAGTAGGAGTGGCGAATGCCACAATCAAAACCATCTTCAATCGGGTTTTGGATCGCTCCCGCGATCAGGGGATAGTAGGTCTATCAGAGCTAGGGTTTCAGTAGATTATTAAGTGTATATATTTGTTTTGTTTTCTTTGTTAATAAATACATTGTTATACGAAAGCTCTGTGTCTGTGGTCGCCTTGAGTATCCATGACGTCACACTAGTATTAGATAATTTCCAATGGTACAGAAAGGCGTACAGTATCTCTAAAGGGAAATTAAGATACAGAATTCCGCTGAAATCCGTCCAAGAAAAATAATTATGTTACTTGCAATTACACAGACACGTTCGAGAAAGGTGTTGGATGATCACTGAAGTTAAACGAATTGGCAGAACTTCTTCACAATTTCGAAAGTTAATGCAGAATCCATTACGTTACCATATAAAATGTGTGGTGTCAATTGAACATGTGGAATAGAGTAATGTAGTACAAAAAATGTACATTAATACAATATATTTAATTAACTTCAACCAAGCAGTGCTTGCAGAATATGACTTTTCACTGCAGAGTATTTAAGTTGACAATATTATTTTGGGGTAGAAAAACCACGAAAGTTTTAGATGCGAGTCAAAATGAAGAAAGACGAATCGACACACGAGTCTGAAATTGACTTTGTTGTAGCCATTCATGCCATTCAATGCCGAAATATGTTGAAAATTGACAGTACTCACCTCCCTGGGGAAAAAACTGGGAGAAGATATTTTTAAAGGAGTCCTCGTCCACCATTCCAGTGGGGCACTCCTGGAACAAGGATTCGAGTGAGTATTTCAACAAAAAAAAAAAGAGTTTTATTGCAGTATGAACACTGAAATAAATTTAAAATGAAATATTCCCTAATCTATGCTTCTAATTTGCATGCATCATTTGTTATTTTTTAAACACTTAATTGGTAGGCACTACTAAAATAGTCCAGTAAAAGCTCAGCTAGAAAACAGTTTTTCAAATTCTGTAAATACTCGTAAGACAGAGTCGACGGAATTTTACTCTATCCTCGAGACAAAACCGGTATTATTCTGATAAGAGTGTAAAATTGTGGAAAATGTGCTGTCATATTCCTGATTCCGTGCGTTTGGGATGAAAGATCACAAAAACACTAATCAGCTATTTCAAACAAAAACATTTTTGATAATTTGAAAAAAATTAACAAATATCGCTCTTTAAATAAATTTAAATTTCTGTAACTTCTCTTCTTTTTCTATAATACGATTGTAAACCTGAGGAATGAGGTTATAGAAGGCAAAAATTGTCGAGAAACAAAAGGGTATGGCTAATTTTTTGAAAAATTTCGTCTCTGGCCAGCAAATGAAACAGAAGATATTGAAAATAGAAAAAAAACTGTCAGCTTTAATTGTGAATAAAGAAACATTGTCGCTTCGGTACACCGCAAACTGATTTTTGCCCGAATTGAACAGTCCTAATATCAACATTAATGTTTTCATTATATTATTTCTGCGTAAAGTTTCATGAGCGCATTCCAAGGTGAGGTGTTTTAAAACAGTTGTACTGGTTTATTTATTCAGGAGTTGTTTTATAAAAGAAAGGGAAAGATGCCCCCATAGAGCTTCTTTAAACATTCAATGCTTTGTGGCACGATAACTATAGTTTAGTCACTAATTTTTTGACATGAACTTATCTTCAAGGACAAAAAATCCAACTTTAAAACATAACCGTAAGTAATCAAATCCCCATCTCTGACTACTTTTGAAGTCCTCTATTACTCGGGGGATACACAACGCGTATTATGGTGTGAGAATGCTTCCTAGCTGTGTGCAATGAGAAATTATAAACTCCTCCGTCTATACTTTAAAGCAACATAGTTCATCAGAAACGAACGGATTAAAAAATAACTATTTGTAGATTCATAGACCCCCAAACCATCACATAGGCTCTATTCCTATCTTTCTACTTGCGCACCCCCAATTTATAATCTCAGACAAACTACGAATATTTATTTTAAAAAAACCTCCATTTAAATATTTACTATACTCTCAATTTACACCTTGACTTTAAACCACAACAAATGTTCTTAAATATATGGCATCACAATTTTTCAGTCTTTGATCTATCAGAGAACAGTGGCTGGTGTCATCACAAAATGTATATGTGTTTGTTTATAAATAATGAATTGCTAATTTATGACCGAAAACGGCATGAATACAATATTTATTATGTCGTCATGTTCATGTATGTGTAGTCAAACCCTACGAAGTCAAGACAATGTTGAGCAAGGAAAAGCCCTTGTACGAGGACGCTCACCTGCTTGAAGCCGCGGTAGATGAGCTGGATCTCCTTCCGGGTGAACTTGGTGGTCTTGGCCAGCTTGGCCAATTCCTCGGGCCGGTGGCGCGCCACGTGGATGTTGAATTCGTCCAGCTCCTCCTCTGCAACACAAGGCACGCGACTCCAATTCAGTCAATTCACATACCAATAAGTATCGAATATAATTCTTCTGGTTAAGATTGACGATTAATGGAGTTACGACATCCATTCTTCTCAGAATGTATGTATTCATGTCAGGGCAAGATTTCATGTGATAATGATGAAACAAAGAATAGTAGAATAAATAATAAATGAATTCCAATAAAACCACAAATAACATGTAAAAATAAATAAAATGGTACACAAATTTAGGCATTATTTGACAAATTATTATATTTACTAGTAAATTATTTATTTCACAAAGGCAGTGCCAACTGATGATGAAAATTACGAGAGGGAGAAATAATTCTAGAGCAAATCGAAATTCAGTACGAAAAAGTTGTATTGAGCAGAAAATGTTAAAACGAATTCACTTCGTTGCGAACAACATTGAACTCTTGAAGATAAAAAGACCATGTTCACTGTTAAATGGTTTGTAAACTATGTATTTAAAACACTAAGGGTTTTCATTAAGTAAGAAATTTGAACATTCCACTTTAACAAATATTATTTTTTTTCCTTTAACGAAAGATACTGGCCTCTAGATGTGTTATTACTGGCTCATATTAACGGGTTTTATAATTAAAACACCAAATGTATTAAAGTTAATATAATAAACGCTTATATGACATCTTTAGTGCATTAAATCACTTTCAGGAGGATTAAATCACCTTCAGTGCATTAAATCACAGGAGGATCTACAGCAGAATTGCAATACAATACACGGAATATCCATACGATTTGAGGTTATGTTGACGAAGCGAAGATAGGTGTGTTTTAAGTTCGCAGAATGACTCTTTAAAATGCAAAGGTTAGCGAGTTCTGCAATGTCCACGTGACAAGTGTCTGTTTACAAAACAATTTCAGTGATTGCAATTATAGGTGATGGACTATATTTTTAAGATCATGTGGATAGCAGAATTACCTTCTGCGGTACTGTAAACTTGCAACATACAGGAATAGTTAAGTAAATTTAAATAATTTCAATAACATTTTCAGAAACCTGCAACTTACATTATCCAGTAAATAGTAACTGCTTTGTGTTAGTAAACATTTCATCAGTTTTGGAGAACTAGAATGACCTGAAACAATATCTTTGAGGTTTTTGATTTTTTGTACAGTGAAGTAACTTTTCTACGGTTCATCCTTTTGTGCCTTGTAATCGAAGAGGTTCGATATCATTATTTATTTATGAAATGTACCGTCATAAAATTGAGAGAAAGAATTTTAATTTGTTAGAAAAAATTGTAGTCTACGTTACATTGTTTTTTTCTAAGTCAGGAAGAAAAAGCTTTTGAGTGCATCTTAGGAGATGAACATTACTGTTTTGGATGCTTCTCGTTCTATGATAAATTATCTTGTGTTCATAGAACACATCTTTTCCGAAACGCCCATTCCCCCCCCCTCATTTGAAGTTCATTACCACTTCAAGGCCACCGCGTCAAGAAAATCTGCATCCACAAACAACGCGAATCTGCTTCGGAGGACATAACGCGTTTGAATCGTTGCCAACGGCGTCCTATAACAACTTCGTGCGCTGAGCGGGGCTGCGAAAAGAGCTGCAAGTGGACGGGAGAGGCTCAGTCTGCCAGAGCGCTCCAAAGATCTGAGTCGCTTCTCCTACAAGACATTAGCGCGCAATTGCTCGAAAGGCGCAAATGGACTGCAGGTCCCGTTAGGCTTGCCTCCCAGCTGCGCCTAATGACTTCTCTGCGATGGGTTTAAGCCATGGCCGCCTGATACAATGGTGCAAGTTGTTCTACAACACAACAAGATCATAAGTAGCGTGCAATGTAAAGCGTCCACGGGGGCACATGCATAACTTTTGTGCTGTTATTGTTTTGAACCATGACTACTTGTGAACATGATGTAATTTACTGCGTCAGTGGCAGAATGCAAAATGCAAGCTGTTGCAGTACACGCATTTGAAGTTTGAAAATTTGGTTTGAAATACACGAAAATTGAAGTTATGTGTTTACTGCTGCTAGTAAGCAGTCATGATCTGGAAGAAAAAATCCGATTTAAAGTTGAATAGTAATAAATGAATTTTAGTTGTTTTTGTAAATGCTACTAGATGATAAAAATTTTCAGTAAATACAATCAAGCAATTTCAATGGTAATGCTGAAATTCGAAATTCTAATAATTCCACCACCTTTGTAGCACATTTCGCGTATATCAGATGCATAATTATGATATTTTATTATATTTTTGTATGTTTTGTCTTCATTAGCTTAAAAACCTATAACCTATAAATAAGCAGAGCTTATTTCTTGCTAAAAACATGTTTAAGAAGTTTACAATATACCCATATATGCGTTTTAGTAGTGGTGCTAGTGTAACACTCGCGTTATTTCAAACTTCTGCAATCATTAAAATTCAGAGTTCAACAAATTCGAATATGCACCATTTTTATGAGCGTAGCATCTCAGAAAAAATGATGCCCCTTTTCAAAAATGTTTAAAATGTTCTTGAGTATTTAAGTAAAATCTTCCCCAAATCAAAGTATCCTTTTGAAATTCCAGGGAAGTGCCATCAAAAAGACCGATTGGATAATAATAAGTTAGGTGAAAATCCTGTTAGCGGTTAAGACGCTAGCGTTCACAGAACGATGGCCTGGCGGGCAGGTGCTTTGTTGTAAATTAATTGTTCGGCATTAAAGACTCACAAAACAGGTTCTGACTACATATAGGATGAAGAATAATAAACTTTTTCGTTAAGTGGACCAGACAAGTTTTTCCTGTCAAAAAATAGGCGTTTTTGCTGCAAGAAATACTCGTACAATTCTTTCTCTATATCACGGAAGTAGTATCCGAAAACGTAATAATGGAATAACCAATTCAAATTTATAATTATTAGGGACTTAACTGATATACTCTAGGCTTCCATTTAATAGATCTTTAGTTACAGCGACTACGTACGTGTAATGCAATAACCACACGAGCTCGATACAATGTACAATGCGCGCATGCACTCACAAACAAACAAACAAACAGAATGGGAGAAACAGCACGAAATTTTCAAGAACAGCCACTAACGTATACAAGTGACATTCCCTACTGAGCAGAAACGCACTCTGAATTCCGCAATGTTATTCAAAGCGTAGCATACTGAGCAACATTCCTTACCCTTCCAAGAAACTTGCTATTCATTAAAACTTTACGCCAAGTTTAGGTCGCCTGAAAGACGCAGATATAAATCTTGGAATATCGGTCACATTTCTTGTAATCTTGCCTCGACGCGCCGGCCCGACTTTCTAAATTATCTCGCTTTTTAAAGAATCAAAGAAAGACAGCTCGCAGAAACGGAAATAGGCGTGCTACTCTTAAAGCTTTTAATGTTGCCTTCACCTGCATCACAAATTAATTAGAAACGTCCAACAGCGAGGAAAATTTTTTTTCATATTTTCTTCACAAATATAATTTAAAAAAATAAAAAAAGAGTTGTCGGAGGAGTTGATTTTTACATCTTTTTCACAGACCTATTCCTGGCCACAGTCTGAGCACACGAAGATGAGAATACACTGCATACTTCTCATGGAGGACGTCGATATTTTTGGACACGGTTGAAATTATAAACCTCAGATAGTCATAGAAGGAAAAATATGTTATAAACTCATTTGTATTCCGTGCCAATTCCATGTGTAAATCGTTTAAGGATTAGGGATCCGTAAAAGTTTGCCAATTATTTCAAGACCCTGAGATTTTTCAATTCAAGAATATGTATGGAAAAATAAAAAAATAAGCAAGGATATAAAGCAATATTTATACGAAAAAAACGATAAAGAAGCCAGTTATTTACCCACATTACAAGTTAAGTGCAAAATATCTTCGAAAAGTTTGAGAACAGAAAATACTGACGGGGTCGTGGTGGTATCCTGGCAAGGGATGGCGGGAAGATGGCAGAATGGCGAGGGCGGTGGCGAGGGCGGTGTCGAGGGCGGTGTCGAGGGCGGTGTCGAGGGCGGTGTCGAGGGCGGTGTCGAGGGCGGTGTCGAGAGCGGAGAAGAGAGCGGAGGCGAGAGCGGAGAAGAGAGCGGAGGCGAGAGCGGAGACGAGAGCGGAGGCGAGAGCGGAGACGAGAGCGGATGCGAGGGCGGAGGCGAGGGCGGAGGCGAGGGCGGAGGCGAGGGCGGAGGCGAGGGCGGAGGCGAGGGCGAGGGCGGTGGGGAGGGCAAAAGCGGACACTGAAGTGGGAGAGGCGCCCGCTGCACAGTAAATCTCCGCTGCTGTGGTTGTCGGGGGCGTTTCCGGGACTCGATATCCGCCGACGGGCGGGAGGAACTGGGAGTGACTATTGGACACTAGCGATGGAATTCAGTTAGCGAAGCAGGCCAGGATTTACGGGTGGGCAATACGTCCACTGCCCGTAAATCAGGCTCATGATGTCATAAGGCGCAATATGAATCATTCTCACACAGCATATCAGTGCAAGGCAATATCACTTACAAATTATAATACGACATTAATCGTAAATTGAAATACAGTTTGTAGTAAAAGAAAATTAAAGTGCTTTTGGAAGTACAGTCTGTACGTGACCGTTAAATATTTTATGTAACCTTTGTATATAAAGAAAGTCATTATATTGCATTTCGAAAATGTTCTAATTTCTTAACAAATAATTATTTTTAGCTTGAGCCCTACCGTATATTTGTATTTTCCAATAAAACATTTTAAACTGATGATATTTGAATTAACATTTTCACGCAGTATATAGCTTTAAAATGTTTATCTTGATTGAAAAAATAATTAAAATTAAGCAGTATAAATTTTTCATTTCCTAAACAACATTTAAAAATTAATTGCACACACTATTCTTGCAGGAAAATTAGTGAAAACGGTGTGACAAAAACTGTTTTCGAATATTAAGACAAATTGTTACCGTTGCGAACAACTAAAACTTTCCTTCCTTGATAACAAAACAGCGGTTTGTGGTATGTTATGACATTATTCTCACAGCAACTGG